GCCCCAGCCCACCAATCCCGTCCCAGGGCAGGCGTGAGCTCATAAAGGTCATGGGGGTGGGGGGAGTGCTGGCCAGGCCAAGGGGTTGGGGGTGACTGGGCTCTTTAAAGGGGATCTTGGGGATAACACCCCCAAGCGTCTTCCAAAGTGTCCCGCCACCCTCCTCATCTGTCACGTCAGTTCTGCTGGGTCACACGTTGGGAGAGGGTGTGTCCCCCAAGCCAGGCCCAACGGACACCCTTCTGGGTGGTCCCCTCCGCCGTCACCCACCCTGCGCCATTGCCAAGGCGCATCTTCACCTTCCATACACCCAGGATCAGGCGGCCACGGTCAGGTCTCTGCAGAGGGGCGTGGCCGCATTTGCCACAGGCAGCTTGTTCTCAGCATGGTTAAGACCAGTCACTGAGGCACCGTGCCCAGCGCTGTCCCCTCCTCCTTGCCCGTCCATTCTGAAACCACTGCCTCCTTGCTGGCCCTGTCACTGAATCGCCCCTCTCCACCCGCAGGCAGGTGGCCTCACCGCTGGGCTCCCGACCCTCCAGGAGCCGTGGTGTCCGGCCGGCTTGGAAGAGGGGTCCGGGGCGTGGTGGGCTCACAGGCTGCACGTTGTGCGGGGGGTTGGAATGGGCGATCTGCAGTTGGGCCCCCCAGGGCAGCAGGCAGGGAGGGTGTCCCGATTGGAAAGGGGGTAGAGCTGCTTTATGCACACACTCGCGTCTATGCGGCAAGTTCTACCCATCAAACATGCGCCTAGAAGTGACTGAGCTTAGCGAGATCTCGGGAGACAAGATCGACGGCAAAAAGTAATTGGACTTCCTGTCCCAGCAATGAGTAATTGGAACGTGAGCTGAAAACCGTGCCCTGGAAAGTAGGATTAGGCCTCATGCAATACTGATCCACCAAAATAGACAGTTCTGTACATCAAAACCCAGAAAACCTGCAGCTGAACTCGTGAAGACCTGAGCAGAGGGAAACGCAATGTAGCTCCTGAGTGTGGAGACTCGCTAGCCAATGGCATTGCTCCCCACATCCAGTGATAGAGTGGTGCAATCTCATGGACACCCCAGAAGGCCTTTTTCTTTTAAAATGGTTGGCACTGTTGTTCTCCCTTAGATGGCAATGAGAAAGTCCTGGAAAAGACAAAAAATTTTTTCAAGCGATGTCAAAGTCGCGGACTCTTTTTTTAAGATTTATTTACGCATACAAGAACTGGGGTTCAGGCCAGAGGTGTGGGGGTCGGTGTGATGATTCCGTAGAGTCAGAGTGGGGATCAGAAGAGGCAGCGTGCTTGAAGGACACTGCTGAGAGGAGCAGTGGGGGGGGGGGGTTCAGGAGAGTTCTCCTGGACCATGTGGGTCTCTCCCCGTGTGGCAATGGCTGAGCACAGCCTCATAGTGCCACTCTTTAGTCTGTTGTGCCACGCGGGGGCAGGGGGAGGGCCAACAGCTTGATACTGTCAAGGTGACACTAATGTGGGCAGTGTGTGCCAGTGACCACTAAGAAGATTTGCACAGAACAAAGGAGTGTCTAGAAAAGCCACTCTCATGGCTACAGAGAACTCGTTCCCAGTGTTTTGTCCTGATTTCTGTGACCGGCTGCAAGGAAGAAAGGCGGCAGGCAGAAAGGCTGAGCAAGTAGAGCTTATTGCTCCGGGGCAGCAGCTGAGACCCTAGGGTGGGGGCCGCAGCTCCTGCCGGCGCTATGGGTGGGGGAGGGTGTCCTATAGATTCTGGGTTCAAATTCCAAAGGGGGGACTCATTGCTGTGCCCCCTGATGCAAGGCCCAGTTCGTTATCACCCTTATCTAGTCCCACGGGTAGTTGTTATGGCCGCACCTGGTCTCCCCCAACACCCAGCAAATGTGCACAAGGTTGGAGGTGAAAGTAGTGTCCTTTCAGCAACTGAGTGGGGTGCACATGGAAACGTGCGTTTGGCCGTTATCCGCTCTGCGTGAGTAATGACGCAAGTGGGCCATGGCTCTGCCTGCTGAAATGATACAGCTGCTCGGAGATTGTGCAGGAGCCAATGGAGGCGCCCTGCGGTGGTGTGATTCAGTGGAGCATTCCCGGGTCAGAGGAGGAGGAGAGGCCACCACAGGCCGCAGCGGGCCACCAGGTCCAATCCGTGCTCAGCACTGAGCATTCCGTGCTCAGCTGCATGAGAGAAGCCCCAAGAGACCTCCACCACATCACCCAGAGAGGAAGTGTGGCCCAGGGTCTTCCTCGGGGATCGGGGATGGAGGGATCGGAGAGGGGACTGCATATGTGAGGGGAATGTTGCTGTTCTCCAAAGCAGAGGCTCTGGGTACCGGAGCCGGAAGGGCTGGGGGGCGGAGCAGTTAGGGATCCCTTTTGGAGACAGGGTTCCTCTGCTCTGTGGTTGCCAGGTGTGAGGCGCGCTGGGGGCACATGAAGCAGGCAGGGGGTGACTGGCTACAAAAATGGATGCTAGTGGGAGCAGCTGGATGTGCAAGAATTCACGTTTGGCATGGTGGATACGGGATCACCCGCCGAGCCTGTCTTGAGGAGGAAGGCAGGGGTGCTAGGCACGGGGCCCTCTTTGATCGCTGATGCAGCCGCCATTCGTCTCTCAGATATGACTAAAAAAATCACCATCACTGACAAAAAACTAGTAAGCTGACTTCATCAAGACGACCACCTTTTCTTGAAGTAATACTATTAAGAGAGTTAAAACGTCGGCCACACACGGGGATTGTGTCTGCAAATCACGTATGTGATAAAGATCTGTCAGGAAAATCCAAGACCTTTTGAAAACTGAATGAGAAGGACTCAGACAACCCAATAAAAAGGGGGGCAAAGTTCTGAACCGACATATCTGCAAATTCTGAAGCTTCAGTTCTGTGCCGCCACACAGCTACCAGCAAGCTTTCCGGAGAGAGTGGCAAGATCCACGCTGGTCATGACGCAGAACACTGGAGTCTCCTGTCCTCTGGGTGATGGCAGAAAACAGCAGTGACTTCCTCACAGTTCAGCAGTTCCCAAACTTTGAGCATATACTTTGTATGTGACATATTAATCACACCTCCAGTTGCCAATATGAAACGTTCACAATGCATGTGTACCGGGACAGCCAGCAAAGCAGTGGTTATCTTGAGCAGGGTGTGCAGGGAGGGACGAAGGGCCGAGTGACAAAGGGGCCCTAGTGCAGATGACGGCCGTGCTCGAGGCCCTGTGGGATGGCTCTGTGCTGTAGCCCTGGGGCAGGCAGTCAGATTGTACATTTTGGGATGTTTATTGCTTGTCAATTCTCGCTCAGTAAAACTGGCATGAATGCATTATTTGCAGGAAAAAAATGCCCTTAGCGAATGCCTTTAGTTTAGATTGCCTTTCTGTGGGCAGGGCAGCTGTCTCTCGAATTGCAGGTTTCTGGTGTGCACTGCTGAGGATCAGCCGTGTAGCCAGCGCGTTATGGCTGTTCAAAGCCAGGCCTGTCCTTCACCTCACCATTGCTCCTGCTGTCCGGACTCAGCCACCCCGTTCTCCCTTCCTTTCTGGCAACCAATCATTGGTCTTAGTATTCAAAAGTGGTTTTAGTTTGTTCTATTTTACCTGTTTATTTGTATTCTCAACATAGCACATAGGAGTGGAGTCCAGGAGGGTAGATATTGTCCCCCAGAGGAAGTCCATGCCCATTTTCCAGTTATTTCTCATTTTCCCATTTTCCTAAGCCCAGACAAACACTGATGGGCTTTCCGTTCCACGGACTTAAATATTTCTGGACATTTCCTATTTAAGGAATCATGTGACCTGTGAACCTATGGAATACCTGAGGAAAGCTGAGCGTGGTGTCAGCATGAGCACCCAGCGCCCCTACCCTGCCTCAGGGAGCATTACAAGTTAGAGCCTTGGCGAGGTGCACACACAGAGAAGAAGGCTGCCCTGTCTGAGTCAAGATCCAGGGGGAGAGAGAAACCTCCACAGGATCCACCTCTGCCCCTCACAATAGCCCTGGGTGTGGGGGGGGGGTCGTCACCAGAATCAATGAGTGGATGTGATGACCCTTAACTTCAACTTGGAAGTCTTGCTTTGAGAGGCACACATTCACATTGACAGAGGAAAAGCTCACTCATGCCTGCATGAAGTTGAGGATTAAATGGAGAACTGAGGGGAACCCCCATTCTACCCGAGAACTCGGGAGTTAGAGCCTTGGTCTGAGTGTCACACGCTCAGGTGACAGAGGATAGGCCCCGGCCCAAATCAAGGTAGGACCAAGGGAGACAGAGAGACCCCCCTGTGTGATACATCTCTCCCCTTCATGACTGATGGGGTGGTGGGAGGGGTCAAGCGGTGCGGACCGGATGTGACAGCGACCGACTTCCTCTCAGAGCGCTGAAGGGAGGGTCTTGGTCTGAGGGGCACATTCTCAGGTTGGCGGAGGAGAGCCCAGACCCATATAGGTGAAGGTGAGGATCCTGAGGGAGTACTGAGGGGACTCATAGATGCCCCCCTATATAATCCCCAAAGAGGTCTGTGCAGGGTGCTCAGAATTAGCTCCCACATTTCTCAGGCAGTCGGAAAGCCTTTTTCTGAGGGGGTTAAAATTCAAGCCTGTGGAGGGAACGCCCACTCCTGCCTGAGTCAAGATGAGGTCCAGAAGGAGACTAGAGGGATGTAATCAGGCACCTGCCTCAGGACTGAGAGACCACAGGCTGTGTGGTCAAGCTGGGCACCGTCCTGGCAACCCAGGGCCCACATACACAGGGTCGCGGATTCAGGCACATGGTGTGACGCAAGCAAACTTGAGTCGGCAGAGGGGAGGGCCGAGACCTCGCTGTTGGTCAAGATGGGGACCCTCGGGGAGAAAGGCGGGGCAGTGGGCTCCAGGAAAGCGGGAACCCGCACAGGCGCCCCCTGCCGTCATCGCTGGTGGCCCCGGAGAGGGAGGACCGAGGCCATGTTTCCTCACTTCCGCATTCCGGTCTGCGTGAGAGCTGGACGTAGCGTTAAGAAGCAAGGATTTAGGGTGGCGGGTGGCAAGAACTTCACGAGAGTAAGGGATCTTGCGGGAGGACTGAGGGACTCTGAACCCTAATTCTGAGGGAACCCCACGAACCAGCAACGCTATCAGACCTGGGAATGGGGGGAGGTGAGACAACATGGCGCCCTGACTTCCGCATTCGGCGGGTCTGCGTGAAATCTGGACATAGCGTAAGAAGCAAAGATTCAGGTCAGCAAGGGGTGGGGGGCACAGACTACACCAGAGTAGAGGTGAGGATCCTGAGGGAGTACTTATGGACTCTGAACACTAGTTCTGAGGGAACCCCACAAACCCACAATGCTGTCAGACCTGGGGGGGGGGGTGGAGAAGTGAGGCAGTATGGAGTCCTGACCTCCGCATCCGGGGACAGACAATGAGCCACTAAGAAGCCTTAGGTCAGGTCCTTCCTGAATCAAGGTGAGGACCCCAGGGAGAACCCCAGAATAGTGTAGCACCGGGAGGCCCTGGAGCTACTTCCCTATGGGGCTTCTGAACCCCCCTGAAAATCTCAAGGAGGGTTGGGGTCTGGGGCAGGGGTGTCGTCAGGGGGCCCTGGTGGATGGAGTGTGGCCTCAGCTTGGCAGAGAGAGGAAAGCAGGCCCCTAGGGAGGACAGCCCGATGGTGCAGTGGAAGG